AAAAAAAAAAAAAGAACAACATATATCCCACAAGCCATCTATTTATTTACTTTTTATTCCATTCTGGAAATCCAGTAACCCAGAGCCTTACATATGCTAGGCAAGGACACTACCACTGAGCTACATGGTTCTTAATTTTTTTTCTTTCTCTTCCTTCTTGATTTTAGGAAACTATACAACAATGGGTTTACTTCAATCCAAGGACATGCTTTCAATGGAACAAAGCTGGACGCTGTGTAAGTTTAGGGTAATCATGGAAACTACTATCATTCCCCATATCTCACTCCCAGAAGGATCATCCAGAGGCTCTGAATTCCATTAAAATCTATTTTAAATATCTCAAGCCTTGGAAGTAATGCTAAAGAAACTTGACAAGGGCTATCTGAAGGTGACACTTAATGTTGACCCCAGCTCTAAATCCCAAGGCTGTCATTCTTAATAAAAATGAGTGATACCCAAATGAACAAAACAAAAACAAACAAACAAACAAACAAACAAAAAAACAGACTTACATTTTATTTGTCTTGCAATACTTTTTTTTTTTTTAATGTAACCCTGGCTGTCATGGAACTAGCTATGTAGATAAGACTGGCCTTGAACTTATAGAGATCTGCTTGCCTCTTCCTCCCAAGTGCTGCAATTAAAGATATGCATCAATTGACATTGCAATACTTTTTATTTCTCTAGCAGTTATATATATATATTTTTTAATTCCAAATTATCTGGTATCTTTACCTAAAACTTAACTGCTCATTTCTTATGATGATGTGTTACTTACTGCTTTTTGTGATTCTATACTCTCCATTCCTTAAAACAATCCTCACAGTTGATCATTGCAAACTCGGAAAGGCCTTCTAAGTCTAAACGTATTGCGTGCTACTTTGCTTCTCAAACACTATTAGGCATGCAGGCCATCTAGGGATCTTGGGCAATACAGATGCTGTTAGCTGGGCTGTGGGATTCTATATTTCTAACACACCCTCTCACAATGCTGCTACTGTAGCCCACAGACTGCATTTTGGGTAAAATAGCTACACGACCATGTGAAGAGAGTCTGGGTGGAAAAGAAAACACGTGGAGATTAAGCGCTTTGTGTGATATTTTGGTTTACAGGTTAAGTACTAGGTTCTGGAATGATCCCATTTTAAAAGATAAATGGTGACAAGTGCTGGATTCCTTATAGTTAGGCAAAGTTCTCAACGTCCTGTTGAGGTGGAGTCTAGCTCTTGGTGGGCTTTGGGGCTTCCTTCTAGTCTCTATGAGAGGAAGGATTAGCATATCATTTTCTTGGGTATTTGGTAGGCCAGGAGTTATTATGGTCTCATTTCAGTCATTTCTTTTAAATATATAATGACAGGGGAAGCTCTGAAAGATAGTACAGGATTCATAAGTTCTTGTACATAAAATTTACAGAATAGGAAAGCCCAGCTGCACTGGTCTCCCACCATCCTCCATTTAGTTTTCAGTGTATTGAATGCCTGTAATGCACAAAGCCCTGTGCTAGCCACTGGCAAAGCAAGGATAAGCAAAAGCAGTGTGCTTCTTGCTCACAATACAAATCTCATTCTTGTGGAGTCAATACAAACCCAGCTGCACCAATGACCAAAGTATGATAGAAAGAAATGTATCCACTTTAAAATATGCATCAGCTAGAAAACACACAAGGGTTGAATATCCCAAGGTGCTGGCCTCCTTCCTTGGAGAAATCAGCATGACTGTCTCTAAGTTTATCCCATGGTTTTGAAGACCAGCATCTACTATTATGAAAATACCACCAAATAGTTTCTTCTTTTATTCTAAAGCAACCACACAAGGCTAACGGGTTCCCAAGCTTCAGGTCCTCAGCTCCTGCCTCTATGTCTGGTCCCACCATAGGAATGCTGGAATTACAGATATGTGCCACCACTCCAGGCCTGTACTTGGGTTCCAGGAATCAAACTCAGGTAGTCAAGCTTGCGTGGGAAATGCTGTTAGCCTAGCCATCTCTCTAGACTCTCATATTATATTTTGTAATGTAACTCAATATTTACTGGGTTTTCAAACTGAGGAAAACATATTATTCTTTTATAGTAATTATCCTAACATCATTCGAAGATTGTAAATAGCATACTCTCTGTAGAACTGTGTTTAGCTATCTCTAGGTTCTAGCTTAAGTAATTTGTTATCCAAAACAGAATCATCCACCTCATGCCAATGTACTGAAATTATCAGGCCTGACCTCAATTACACCGGTTGTTTTAGTGTAACTAAATATTGTTATTTCGGCCAAGTTGGATGAATCCCACACTTGAGGACAAGCACTGAAGCCATAGCAGCAGTCTTGTCGTTAGAAGTTTGTGAAAATCATGACAAGTGAGTAACAGCTCATTGCCCTGTGGGTCCAGAGAGCCAGGCACGCTGTCATCACTGAGATGACAGATCATTTAAGATGAACGTCCTTGCTCAAGAGAAGTTGAACTGCTCTCAAACAGAAGTCACGTGTTCTTTCTCTGGACCTCTCTATTCTCCCTTTAGACAGTCTTTTAGAGCCGAGTGATGAGTTTTCTATTGCTGAATTCTAGTTCTTTTGCTTCTGTCTAGAAATAAACAGTTGGACCAAGAATAAATAAATAAATAAATAAATACAACTCGGATGTGCTAACAACTTGCCCAGACAGTAATCATTGTGAGCAGAGAAGTCAACAGAAATGACTTGCTAATTAGCATCACACATTAGCTGATTAGAAGTAATTCACCACAGCTTGGAGCCCCTGGGAAAAAATGACGGTAGAGAAGATTATAGGATTAAGTAGGCTTCTATTTCTCACGGGATAAGTATTTGAACAGCTTGTAGGATATGCTCCAAGGTTGGCTGTCCTCTCTGCCTACTGCAGTCTTGAACACTTTCTCACCTGTTACCGTTGATAAACAAGTGTCCCAATCTCTGAAACCGACAAGATTTCCACAGAGCAATCCAGCTTCGCTTCAGACTAATGTGAGAGCTAGGCAATGGATCCCTACCTTTCATTTTCTAAATAACAAGGGCCATGTGAAAAAAAAACAACAAAAGCAAAAACACGGTTCCCCACAGAAGCACTCCCATGTGACTGTCACAACATAACCAGGTGCCAGCCCCGATTTCCCCTAAAGGAATTATGCAGGCATGAGCTGAAATTCTATCTTGGAAATGGAATGGGTCCCTAAACTCCTCAGAGAACCAAGTCCAGGAGCAACAGGAAATGCCCTCATCCAGTACATCATACTTTGATACTGCTCCCTCCTGTTGCTGACTAAAACCTATCCTATTTGTAAGTTACCCAGAAACAACACTTTCGTTCCTCATCAAACAAGTCTTTACTGAACGTTTGTTGCGTGTCATGAACAAATCCAGGGGTTGGAAAGATGGCTCAGTGGTTAAGGGCATCAGCTGCTCTTGTGGAGGACACAGGTTCAATTCCTAGCATCCACATAGCAGCTCACAGCTGTCTGTAATGATGGTTCAGATCCCTGGAACACACATGCAGGAAAAACAGTCAAACATGTAAAATAAAAATAAGTAAATCTCAAAAAGGCAAAAAAAATTTTAAGTGAGTTTAAGAGAAACTGAACACACACACACCCCTCATTTTACTGAGGCTGTCAATTGGATACTTTCCCCAGATCATTGCTATCTTCATTTTTCCATCCCCATTGTTCTCCCCTAACTTTGACATACGTCATTTTCAGTCAGAGTAGAGATTCTAAAGTATTGAAATATGGAAAATTTGACAACTCTTTTCCAGGAAAAGTTTAATTTATTCATTAGGGTCTCAAAGAACAGAATCTGTTCAAATAATGAAGAGTCATTAAGTAGACAGGGGTCAGCAGCATGTTTTACTAAGAAGGTTTTCCTAGGCCCTTTCCGGTGTTTATATTAGCCATCCTGACTTTTAGGAAATCTCTCCTTTCGCCACTTCTGACAAGTCCTAAACGTCTGAACCTTCTTTGTGTCCCTCTTCTGCTATCACCTTCACATAAAACAGCCATTGTCCAGAACATGTTCCCACCTGGGTCACCACGACTTCTGATGGACTTGCCCAAGCCCATGTATACAGCTCTGTTCTGATCAAGGTATAAGAAAACTGACATTCCCTGAAAATAGCATGTGGTTAATGAGATTAACGGAAGCACTTCCTTTCTGGATATTAAAGCTCCCATGTCGATAATTCCTCACCCTTAGCTTCTGGTGGAAGCTGGGAGGAGAAATCAGAACCAAAGACTCAAAGCTAAAAGACTGGAAACTACCAGGGACTCTCAGGATATGGAAGAGGCTCATGAGCCCATGGTCATCCTGGGCTTCATAGTGAGATCCTGTTTCAAAAAAACCAACAGACCAAACAAGGAAGAGTAGCAGGTTCGTTAGTAAACCCCTTATCAGCTTCAGAGATTAAGTATCCAAATGACCTTATGTCTTTTGAAAAATTGGGCCTCTGTCACGCTGGCTCATCTCCGTTCACATTGGCTGTACCTCTTGCTACATTCTTTCTCCCATTCTGGACTCTGGCTGCCTTCTCCAGTTTGAAGCCGCCTGCAGCATTTCTGGTAAACTACACTGCTTATCAAGCAGTCTTCTTGTCCTCAGGGGTGTATTAAGTATCAGATGAGAACACTACAAAATTGGACAACTGATAATTCCATTTTACAATAATTTGTGATGATTAGAGCACCCGATTTCTAACCTCGGTCACTGGAGATGAAGAAGACAGAAGAGAGGAGTTCAGCAGAGCTTCCTTGATTTTGAGCAGCCTCCAACAAAATGTGATCCACAACTACACCGGCCCAAGGATTCAGAAGGAGTTACAAACTGGTGTGGCCATTATGCCCAACATAGTTATCATATTACAAAACTGTGCTCACCAAGAGCTTTTGTTTTTCCAAGATGGGTCTCATCCATTCCAGCTACAACCAAACAAAAGATCTTCATAGACATAATGCGTTGACTGAATCAATGTATGAACATGAGAGTTCTGCAACTCAAGCCTTATATTAACCCACCGGGAACATGTACATACGCTGCTCTGGCATCCTCCTCAGGTGTCCGAACATATGGAAGACTGGTCTCCTCTGTGTGAGACTTAACACTCTCTGCCATAGACAGTATCTGGAATGCCCCCTCCCAAAGCCCATGTATTAACGTTTTGGTGTTCTCAGCTTGGTCTTAGTGGGAAATGATAGAACTTTTAAGAAGTAAAGATTAATGGGATAAAGTTGGGTTATTGGCAACATTCCTTTTGAAGAGGATATCAATCCCAGGCCCTTCTTCTTCCTCTGTTATTAGCTTCCCAGCCACCTTAAAAATAAATAAATAAACAAATAAATAAATAAATGAGCAGCTTCCATCTGCCCCATACTCCTAATATGGCAAGCCATGGACCCACAGGCCCAAAGATAATGGCATCAACTCATCTCCAGTACTGTGAACAAAAGCAATCCATTTCTCTTTTGACGCTGACGTACCCATCATTTTGTTATAACAGAGAGCTACTGGATACACTCTAGAAGTTATATGCTCAGCCACTACTTAGAGAGGCCATGGGCGGGCGGGCCATTCTTTGTAAATGGGCTGTCTCAGCATTCACTGCCATCAGCAAGGTCAATTTCCCCAAATCCACCATAACATATGCTAAGTCTTCTTTTATTTTTCATTATTTTTATTAATCAATCAATCAATTGATTGATTAATTAATTTTACATACAAATCGAAGCTTCCCCTCCCTCCTCTCCTCCCAGTCCCTCCTCCCTTTTCCTCCCTCCTTCCATTCCCCCTTTCCTTTCTCCTCAGAGAAGGGGAGATGCCCATGAATATCACCCTTGATATATCTTGACATATCAAGCTGAGGTAGAGCTATACACATCCTCTCCCACTGAGGCCAGACAACATAGCCCAGTTAGGGGAAAGGGATCCAAAGGCCTGCAACAAAGTTAGAGACAGCCACTACCCCAGTTGTTAGGGAACCCACATGAAGACCAAGCTGCACATCTGTTACCTATATGTCAGGGCTTAGGTTTTGTTGTTTTTTTTTTTTTTTCTTTAAACAGTTGTAAGTGTCACCCTCAAAGTTTGAAAGTATCAATGTCACTATCTTGAAGGAAAGACATATTTATTTGTTTGGTCATTCACAATTCCCACCCAGTATTTATGGAGCTCTGACCTTAGCAGTGGGTATAGAGCATATAGCTTAGAGCTTAAGGCATAGAGCTTTCCATTCTGATTGAAAAGACATGATATTCAAGTAAGGGAAAAAAAATACTAGATAATTGCAGAGTCTGATAATATCAGGGGGGAACAGAGAGTTATAAAGCAAACTAGTGCTACTTTAAATTAATAGTCTTTGACCGCTACTTAAAAAATAATTGAAAAAGTCTAAACGGTATTCAAATTTGTAAACCCCATTGTTCTTACTTGTCTGTTTAATTCCTCAGCAAGCCCAGAAAGAGGGTTGGTGGGGGATGATAAACCTCTTCAGCCTAGTGATTGATCGTTCTAGTCTTACCCACAATGCTCCAGGAAAGACACACCTGGATCCAATGAACTAGAAGGAACTTTATGAAGAATCTGGAGAAAGAATTCTGACTGACAATCTTCATTTACTCTTCTCTTATTAGCCATCGTCCTTAAGAACGTGCATCCCATAGTACAAAGCGCGCTGACACAATAACGAAAGCATACTCTGTCATTATTGTATTTATTTTGCATCAAGCCATGGTCACTCACGAGTATTTAGTTGCCTACACTGTGCTTCAAGTTAATGTAAGTGTATACATTGTGGTCATTTATAACAAAGATAGTTGTACTTTATTTTATTTTAGATAATTTTACTCTCTAAAAACACATGGGGTGAGGAAAGGGCCAATTGCAAAATCCTCGGGTGCTTTTGTACATTTGAAGGAAATTTTATTTCAAACACATTTTGTGACTTCAATTGCATAAAAAAAAATAGTATTTTTAGAAATGATGTTTAAAAAGGAAAGGACCATCATACTCATCACTTTTCACAAAGGGTATATGCTTTAATCTTATTTACATAAACATCCACATAACAAAACTGGTGCTATTGGATAAAATGCATACCATTCAATTAAATTTGAATTTGAGATAAGCAACAGATAACTTCACATGGGAAATATTTACACTTGAAAATTATTCAGTGTTTATTAATAATTCAAATTAAACTGACCTCCGTATTTTAATTTGCAAAAGACAACTCTGCTCAAAGGACTGAGTCTTTGAAAATCCCTACCACCCCCTCACTCCCACCACCTCCATCCCATCTATTGGTTAAGTTCTAGCTTCAAACATATGTGGAAATAATGGTCGATCTTGAGAAGCAAATTTGAGTCAGGGTAGAAAACATAATCACCAGGAAGTAGGAAATTTGGGCAACGATGATAAATGTAGATATGCAAACCAGACATAATTCATTTCAGGGATTCCTGGAACGATAGCTTTTGAATTCCTAGCATACAGAATGGTCCTTAAACCAGAAGAAAGTAAGGTGTCTTCAAAATTAATGTGACCTTGCTTACATCTTATTTTGGTATTTCTTCTGATGTTATATGATGGCTTAAGGTTGCCTAATTTATATTCTCTCTCTCTCTCTGTCTAGCTACCTAAACAAGAATAAATACCTGACAGCTATTGACAAAGATGCTTTCGGAGGAGTATACAGTGGACCAACCTTGCTGTGAGTAACGCAATGAATGGCTAGTAGCTTTATCTTTTTCTCTTTTACTTTTCTGAAATGGAAGAGATGTGAAGAGAGGTGAAGCCAACTTTCTTAGTTAGGTTTCTACTGCTATGAAGAGGCACTATGACCACGGCAACTCTTATAAAAAAATCTTTAATTAGGGCTGGCTTATAGTTCAGTGGTTCAATCTGTTATGGCCATGGCAGGAACCATAGTCAAGTACAGGCAGACATGGCGCTGAAGAGGGGCTGAGGGTTCTACATCTGGATCCTCAGTCAGCAGGAAGAGAATGCCACAGTGGGCCTAGCATGAGCATCTGGAAACTTCAAAGGCCAACCCCACAGTGACACACTTCCTCCTACAAGGCCACACCTTGGACCGTTATCTTGGGTAAAGGCTTCTACCACTATTCCTTACTTGGCTCTATAGGCTACCTCTTAGAAGAGAGCCTTTGAGACTCAGAAGGCCCCAAGTCCCAGGACGCCATCCGTCTCCAGGCAACTTGTAGAGGTTCTGTTTGTGGGCTAGTGGCTGTTTACAAAACTCTAAGACATGAAATTTGCAAATAAGTAGAAAGCACTCTGTCTTTACAAAGAAATGCAACCATCTGATGCCCAGCACAGAGAAGAAAGACTTTAAATTATAATCTGATTTGTGTCTGGGAGAACTTATATTCTAGGGAAGATGGGATATAAATGTGATTTCTAATAGTTGGATAATGCACCTATTTGTGCATCCATTCTCATTACACACCCACATGGAGTTGGTGATCATGTACTATCAAGTCTTTCTTTCAAGCTTCTTTATCATTGTCATCTCCATTCCGTTGGGTTTGCCTTAGTTTAACATCTAATTAGTCCTTAATAAAATTAAACACAGTGCCTTAAAGATGTACAAGACAATCCATTAGAGGCAAGAGGAAACTATTTGTTTATAAAAATACAAAAAATTTAAATTGTGTTAACATGTATACAGATGACCACCAACACTAGTAGGCAACAGGTGTATACCAAGAGGAGAGTGGATGATCGGCAGTCCTATGTACCTGTTATCTTTACTCTTTCACCTTCAACAGTTTTATTGTACCTTGGGAGTAAATGCTTCCTGGTAAGTAGGTTGGTGGCCCAGTTTTCTTAAAAGTTTCTGCACTCTGCAGGAAGTTTCTCCTAACTCATAGTGAAATGTAGCTAAAAGCGCGTACAAGAGACAACAGGTGCAATCCTTAATTCACACCAGTTGTGATTGTCTGCACTGAGTCTACACAGCACACACAGCAGTGGCCTATCAGTAGTCAAGCTGGATGAGGGAGGTGCTCGGGGTTCAGCCCCCACACCTGAACTACTGTTCAGGGATAGATGCTGCAGGACAGGGAGCTGCTTCCAGCTATTCTAATGACAGTCTATTCCAATGACTGTCTCCAAACCAGTGGCCACATACACAGCCCTAGTTAAGCACAGTTTGTCACCAAATGAATAAAAGAGATGTAAATCTGGTGTAGGGATATATAGGGAAGAGGGAGGGCTGGTGGGGAGGGGAGAGGGTAAAGGAGAGTAAACAGAATGCATTATATCCATGCATTATATATGAGATATTATCGTAATTAATAAGAAATTAAAATGAAAAGAGGAGCAATGTTGGTCTAGTTTGGGAGGTGCTTTTGCAGAAGTTTGGAGCATACAGAATATTTAGCAAGAGGTCTATTCAAAATATATGAATAAGAAAGAGGCAAAGAGAGAAACAGATCATTACAAAACAAAACAAAAAAACTATAGTTGGAGAACAATGAAATCCCAATACACAGATTAACACAGATTAGATATGGATTTGATTAAATAGGTCCTGAAACTAGTAGGCAAATAGAACTGTATGAGGAGGGGAGTAGGTAGGACAAATGGTGATGGAAGAGTGTTAAATTCATGTTCTATAGAAGAAAGCCAGCCTCTGAAACCTAAAACAAACACATGCAGAAATGATGACCATTATGGAAGGAAATAGCCAAAGCTGAAAGTCATTTGTAATGCCCTGGAGGCATTAGAAACTAGACTGGAGAAGATTAGAGACGAGTCTGATGTCCAAGTGACATCTGACGTTTTTCATTTACATCTTAGGAAATAAGTGCACTGGAGAGATTGCTCTGAAGTGAAAAGTGCTTGCTGCACAAACGTGGGAGCCAGAGTTCAAACCACAACCCCTCTATAACTATAAGCCAAGGCACAGTAAAGAATTCACCAAGATGGCTGTTCCATGATTTGCTGGGAAGGATTTAATTATAGATATGAGAGAGAGAGAGAACATCCAAAGGTTGGAGGAGTCCAGAGCACATAGAAACAGATTAGACACAGCTGATTCTATCTTCCAGAAAAGTGAGAATAGCAAGAGAGCGAATAATGTGGGCCAGGGAAAATCCTTATCATTTTTAAAGAGTGGGAAGTAAGCTGTAATCTGGAACATCCTGGGAGATGGCTTACTGGAGGAAGAGAGAGGAAGGAGAGAAGGGCCAGGAGGACTTTCACACACACACACATACACACACACACACACCAAGTTCAAATAAATAGGACAAAAGGAGTCTTGAGGTCAGCAATGGCTTTGGTAGATGTCAACAGGGAACCAAATTTCTCTTCCACTAGAGGAAAGTGAAATAAGGAAGTCGCTCTTCCTGGCAGACAGAAACTTGTTTCACAGGTTTCTGAGGCATGCTGAAAGCATTCACCAGCAATTCTGTAGTCCAGTGTGAGCTGAAATAAAACTGTCATTTCTAGACATATGCACTGCCCATTGGAGTTTGAGACCTACCAATAATAAGCCAGGTGTGTTTCTTGCAGGCCTGTAACCCAGCACTGTAAGAGGTAAAGACAAGAGGATCACTAGATTGTGTGTGTGTGTGTGTGTGTGTGTGTGTGTGTGTGTATGTGTGTGCTCCAATTCTTGGAGACATGCTGCCAAAAGGCTACATGCAGAGAATGAAAGAGAAAGATACCCGATGCTGTCCTTTGGTTTTTCTAAATGGAGCTACATGTACTCATCTATACCACCACACATAAACACACATGCACCCACATAAGCCACATTTACACAAGTATACACACATATACATACACAAAAATAACATAATAAATTAGGGGTAGAGAGATGGCTTAGGACTCTAGGTTCAGTTCCCAGCAGACAGACCACACATACACATAAAACAAAAGAAATAAATCTTTTCAATTAAAGAAATAGTACTAAGTTTTTTTTTTTTAAAAAAAAAAAAAAATGAAATAAAAGGAGGACATGACTACTTCTAAACTATGGAGAATACTTAGAAAGCAGGCAGAGGGAAGAGTGCAGGCTGGACTGGACCATGAGAGGAGAGATGAGGAAGGAGAACAAGAGAGGAACCACTGACAAAGAGAGGTAGCCTGGGCCGAGGAAGGGCAGTAACCAAAATGGCTGCATTATATGGGGATCAGGCTAGAGGGCGGGTCGCAGAAGCCCAGGCCCTAGGAGGCAGGGTTTAGGATAGAGGGCAGGGTGAAGAGTCCTGGAAGGAGCCACAGGTACTAAATGAAGTTCATCCTGGGTTTGAAACCTAATAAGTATCATGCAGCATATTAAAAAAAAAAAAAAAATCAATTAAATCAAATAAAATAGAAGAAGAAAGTTTAAAAAATAATCAGCACTTGAAGGTTCAGTAAGAGCAAAGAAATGAACAATATCATTTCTTAAGTGCCAAGAACAGATGTTCTTTTAAAATTGCTTATGCATGATCCATAATATCATTTTAATTTTTCTCTTGAACCTGTATCAAAATCTTTATTTTCTTTCCCACAGTCTTTCCCTAATTAGATTTGAAGGGCCCATGAGAAAAGGACTATGTCTTACAGTTTTGTAATGCCCTCACCACAACAGAAATTTATCAGATGCACTGTAATTGAGTGTCAAGTAGCCATGGCTTGGTTGCCATTTGGTCTATAGACTAAATGAACAATTTGAAGAGCACCTAAAGAAAAGGGAGTATTATTATATGTATTTCTGCCTCATATGATATCTTGGTAAAAGAATAGTCGTTCCCAACAGTCAACAAAAACATTAAACTTGCCTACACACTGTCTTTTCTTAAGGTCACGTCTCAAAGAAGAATTTGATTTCTACCAGACACAAATCTGAGATACCATCTATTCTTCAGTCTTTACTACTTCTTTTTTTCTAAGAAGGCCTTTTAATTTAGCTTGGAAATTTAATAGCAGTGTTATTGATTGTGTTCTGTCATAGAGATACTAGCCCTTTCCATTTTTATACTTTCTATTTTTTAATGCTTTGTTTCCTTCCCTCTTTATTTTGAAAGAGAAGCTCTTTGTGTTTATAATAGCAAAGAAAACAATGCGTTGAAATGTAATGCTTTCCATAACAATCAGGGCTCTACAGATCCTAAATTATGTAACTCGCCTTAACAGCATTTAGCATAGTGATGGTAATTACCATAATAGTCCCAACTAGTATTAAAAGTACCTCTTAAGAAGAGACAATCGTTGTGTTTATATCCTTGAGTCTGTATTACGTTTATCAACAAAAAGCATTCGTTGATGTCAGCTGTTTTCAAATTCTTCATTTGAAAATCCTCAGGCATGGCACTGCCAACTTTCTTGGCTTAAATAAAGTAAGTCTTTGTTTTCTTTGGCTCTTTGTGATTGTCACAAGGTTATAGTATTAGCAGAAATTTTGTGGTAAAGTTCTTTCTAGCATCTTGATGCATGCTTGGTTTTTTTTTTTAAGACGTACTTTTTTAAGTACATTAGTATTTTGCCTGCATGGATATCTATGTGAGGGTGCTAGATCCCCTGAAACTAGAATTCCAGACAGTTGCAAACTGCCATGTGAGTGCGGAGAATTGAACCTGGGATCTCTGAGAGAGTAGCCAATGCTTTTAACCTCTGAGCCATGTCTCTAGCCCTGGTTGGTTGTCTCATTTTCTCTTCCCATCAATAATATATGAGACCCTTATGCCAGCCAACCTT